GTCCTGTCCCTGCAGCTGAAAACCACCCCCATAGCATGATGCTGCCACCACCATGCTTCACTGTTGGGACTGTATTGGACAGGTGATGAGCAGTGCCTGGTTTTCTCCACACATACCGCTTAGAATTAAGGCCAAAAAGTTCTATCTTGGTCTCATCAGACCAGAGAATCTTATTTCTCACCATCTTGGAGTCCTTCAGGTGTTTTTTTAGCAAACTCCATGCGGGCTTTCATGTGTCTTGCACTGAGGAGAGGCTTCCTTCGGGCCACTCTGCCATAAAGCCCCGACTGGTGGGGGGCTGCAGTGATGGTTGACTTTCTACAACTTTCTCCCATCTCCCGACTGCATCTCTGGAGCTCAGCCACAGTCATCTTTGGGTTCTTCTGTACCTCTCTCACCAAGACTCTTTTCCCTCGATAGCTCAGTTTGGCCAGACGGCCAGCTCTAGGAAGGGTTCTGTTCGTCCCAAACGTCTTCCATTTAAGGATTATGGAGGCCACCGTGCTCTTAGGCACCTTAAGTGCAGCAGAAATTTTTTTTGTAACCTTGGCCAGATCTGTGCTTTGCCACAATTCTGTCTCTGAGCTCTTCAGGCAGTTCCTTTGACCTCATGATTCTCATTTGCTCTGACATGCACTGTGAGCTGTAGGGTCTTATATAGACAGGTGGGTGGCTTTCCTAATCACGGTCAATCAGTATAATCAAACACAGCTGGACTCAAATGAAGGTGTAGAACCATCTCAGGGATGATCAGAAGAAATGGACAGCACCTAAGTTAAATATATGAGGTTCACAGCAAAGGGTCTGAATACTTATGACCATGTGATATTTCAGTTTTTCTTTTTTAATAAATCTGCAAAAATGTCAAATTCTGTGTTTTTCTGTCAATATGGGGTGCTGTGTGTACATTGAGGAAAAAAATGAACTTAAATGATTTTAGCATATGGCTGCAATATAACAAAGAGTGAAAAATTTAAGGGGGTCTGAATACTTTCCGTACCCACTGCATGTTGCTCTTTGTTTACTCTGCAGGCATGTTTTGCATCCCTGGTAAGCCAAGACTATGTTAACGGAACAGACCAGGAGGAAATTCGAACAGGTGAGTGAAGCCCTGAATTTTTGTTTTTGCTTATTATTAGAATGAGTTTATATTGATTTCATATGTGTCTTGTTGAATGCAGGTGTTGACCAGTGCGTACAAAAGTTTCTGGACGTGGCTCGACAGACGGAGTGCTTCTTCCTACAGAAAAGGCTTCAGTTATCGGTGCAGAAACCAGAGCAGGTGGTGAAAGAGGTATATCATTAGACATCCTCACCACCTAACAATGTTTACCCTTTTTTTTTTCTCAGCCATTTGTGGCTTTGTAGGTTATAGTGTTTGTAAAAACAACTTGGATTCCTAAAATATTTCCTGGAGATCCTAAAGTCCTCCCGTGTCATGTCCAGAGGCCACTGGCCTTTAATTCTTAGGCCTGAATTTGTGACATGCTGTCGACGTTAACATATTTGTTCCTCTCCATTTGTTGATGCGTCTTCTCTCTTCTCAAGTCAGTTTTTTTCCTCACTTCAGGATGTGTCAGAGTTACGTAATGAGCTACAGAGAAAAGAGCTGCTGGTTCAGAAGCATTTGTCCAAACTGCACCATTGGCAGCAGGTGCTGGAGGATGTGAGTGTTCAGCATCGTAAACCCACAGACCTCCCTCCTCCTGGACCACTGGCCTTCCTGGAACAGGCCTCTGCCAGTTTACCCCCTGCCCCTTTGAAGCCAAACTCACCCCACCCCCCCCCCCCCGCATTTCCCTTTTGTTGCTGACTTTTTTTTTTACTGTCAAATAAAATACAGTTTGTGAATATTTTGAGTCTGAACTGAGGTCTTAATAATTTTGTTTTCTGCTTTGTACTTTGGCATTTATTTAATTGAGTGAGTGCTATCTATACACCTTAAGGTAGGTAGGTAGGTAGAACTTTATTGATCCCACAGTAGGGAAATTCCAGTGTTTCAGCAGCAGTAAAGGACAAAGCAACATGACACCAAAAGAATAAATACCCCACACATATCTTGAGAAAAGATGAAAACAATTGAATATTACTCACAGTTAATCCCACAATGGGGAAAGAAACCTGTGTTTCAGCCATAATCCCTGAGGAACTACTCAAAAATACCTAAACCAGGGCAATGACAGTATTTGAGAGAGATCAGGAACAAGACATTACACATGAGCCTATTTACAATGCATTTCACCCCCAGGAGCTGAATATTGCACCTCGGTCAACTATTGCATAGTCCCTCATAATGAACACCTATCTTATCACTGCAGTGATGTGTTTGACAGTCTGATTGCTGTGGGGAAGAATGACCTGTGGTAATGTTCCTTTATACACTGGGGATGTAACCGTCTCATGCTTAAAGAACTGTTCAGAGCCACCACTGTGTGGTGCAGGGGATGGGAGGGGTTATGCATGATGGGTTTTAGTTTCGCCAGCATCCTTCTGTCCGCCACCTCCTTGATGGAATCCAGAGAGCAGCCCAGGACAGAAACAACTCTTTTAACCAGCTTGTTGAGTCTCTTTCTGTCCCTGACCGTGTTACCTCCTACCCAACCCACAACAGCATAAAAAACTGCAGATGCCACCACAGAGTCATAAAATGTCCAAAGGAGTGCCCCGTGCACATCAAAGGACCTCAGTCTCCTCAACAAGGGGCATTCCACCAATTTACACATGAAGAGCAGAGTACCAGTTATGCAGAGAACTGCTCAGGCTGTGAAAACAATTGTTAAATGTCTTTGTGGTTCTGGAAGGCCAGAAAAAATTACCCTGACATCAGCCATTTACCAGGACAGTGATACAGATGAGATCTAGGTGCAGTATGGGTAATGTAGTTTTTTGTTTTTAAGCTTTATTTATCATGTACTAAAAGTTAATGTTTTTTCCTCAGTTGCTTCCATTTTGACTTTTGTTTTTGTTTTATGTCTAACAAGTTTCCCAATGTTATGAAAGTCACTGGAAATCTTGTCCCTTGTGAGAAAATACTGGAAGTAGCACCATTTACAGAGTTATTACTGCAAGTCATTTTAATATGAAATATCAAAGATGAATCTTGCCATTACAAGAAAAAAATGACCTACTTACTGCTTGTATTTATTTTGACAGAAAAATGACTCCAGAGACGCCATGACGGAGCCTCCCGTTGTGTCTAATGCATTCAGTGTCTTCACACCATGACAGATTTGTTCTCCCCAGCTTCACAGCTGTCGCCTGTCCACTGACAGTACAGGAAAACAAAAATCTTCACAGATGGGCTCCAGGGACAAAGCTTTCAACAAAAGTCATTTGGGCTTGGCATGAAAAACGGAATTGTGGGTGTATTATTTAAGTAGCAGATCCCCAATTTGGCTCTTTACTCCTTGTTATACATTCTTTAAGTGAGATAACATCAGCTAATTGAACTGGCTGTAGGTATATACATGTTACCTTATGCATCCCTTGGCTGAAGGCCATTTGTGTCCAAAAAAAAATGTTGCACATTAATATTCAAATATTAATCTTAAGCCAAATGTATGACACAGTAACATCTAAATTTTACTTAAGAGTCCAAGGTAGAAAATAAAAGATGTGGAGTTAGTGACAATAAGAAATTAGGTCGGAATTCTGAGATATGAAGCCAAAATTTGTACGATACCCAAATGAGATGATGAGAGTGTGGGATATATCAAAATGTATTGTTGAGCTACTATAGTTTTTATGTGACGGGAAGTCAAAATGATGAAGTGAGACGTTTAAAAAAAACAAATAGTTTTTAGGCCTGATTGCATGTCATCCGCCTCCCCGGTGAGTCTTCCACAGCTAGGGGGAGACGGTGCTTTCTTCTGGGACGCATTGGCTGCTCGGAGAACCGTCTTTGCCGACATGTCCTTGTTTGTTCGTTTTAATCAGCGATTGGAAAATAACAGGTAGCCTTGTCCGTCCGTCTCGCACCCAAGAGGAAAGTGGGGGAAACAATTTAGAAAATCACAATTCGACAGGGTGCTCCACTACTTATGTCCGCATTTCGGGGGCCGACAGATTAAGCAGTCTGCTGGGTATAACACCCGGGTTGATCGCGGCGTGTTTGTACACAGTCACCGCAGTCAGGCTGGTTTCATCGGGCTACCGTCAGCCAGTGTCACCGCATCTGGATCGCCGTGATTCACGCTTGAATTTAGAGCCATTAAAGACAGCGTCGTGGATATGGAATGGTGCATGCTGCTGGGCCAAGTTTTCAGCCTCTGAAAAACACCGTGATCATGGATAACCATCCGCTGTGAGTGCAGAAAGCTGGATGTGTGAATATGTGTGTGTTGACGTTTGTCAAGCTGCTTGACTGATGGTACCGCATTGACAGACAGCGGCCGCCGGTGTTGGGGGGACCGGGGGACGGACCCCGCAGGAGCACACCGGAGGATTGGTGCTTGTGTTTGCTTGAATAACGGAGGTGTTTTGTTTAGTGGCAGAGAGAGGATATGTGTTAACGGCTGTACAGCCTTGTCTGTGTCTGTGTGTGGGTGTGTTTGTGACAGAAAACGAGTGCCACGGGATTTTGCTACAGGCAGCGACAATCAGGCTCTTTACAAGTGATTTATTATGAAATGGGCAGGGGGGGAAATAACTAGGTACATTTACAGTTTTGTTGTAAACTACCTGTAGTCTACTACATTATTTCTATTTTCTGCTATTTTATACTTAAGACAAATGTATACAAAAGTTAATTCTAAAGGTTCCCTTACTCTTTCTTGCCACTTTGTTTTATAGCCTATGTATGTAACAAGGTGAAAGTTACTAATAGCTGTCAAATAAATACAGTAGAATAATAAGTAGAATATTTGCCTCTAAAATGTAGTGTGGTCTTTAAAATGTGACCAAGTTTTCATTCAGGTTACAATAAGGAATAAAAACAACTAATAACACGAATTATTGTATTGGCCACATTGAATGCACCATTCATATATTCACAGTGGCTTTAAAACAGTATGTGAACGTCAACAAAAACAGATTGGAGTTAATAAACTTGGAGGTATGGTTTAGAGCTAAGTGAGTTTATAGAAAAGTTTGCTATTCACAAGAAGCATAATGTGGACCGTGCCTCACAAAAACAGATCTAGATTTGTTGATCATAAGTCCACAGTTTGACAGACTGTCTGGAGTGCTGTGGCTACAGTTGATTAATGAGTTAGTTGGTCAACCGAAAATAAACTGCAGTTATAATTAATCATTAAATGACACTGTAATCATATAGGCTAGACAATTAATTGATTCATCATCAAAATAATCTGCATATTAATTCATAATGAAAATAATCGTTAGTTGCAGCTCCAACCCCAATTTCACATAACACAGCAATTATTTAAGAAAGGTTTTAAAAAACTAGATAAAAGTATACAAACCTGAATAACAAACCTTTATGCGATGATCCCTCAGATTTATCTTGTGACCCTTAGGAGGTGCTTGACCCCTGTGCTGGGAACCACTGGACTAAACTATCCAACATACATCATATAGTTAAAATTAGCTCTACCTCAATTAGTTATGATAGTAAAGGCGTCTTGATGCAACAGTAAACAGTCAAATTAATATACTATTTTTTGCTGATAATACCTGAGAGCTGTCTCTGTTTTCTATGTCCTCCACCACCCATCAAGGCTAGGCTAAATAACAGAAACACCTCTCTGTAAAAGGCACTACAGCACTGACTGAATACCTGATATGAAAGCAGATGTTCCAGATGAAGCTTTTCCAAGCCTCGGGCGCAGACTGCAAAAAGACTCTAGGGACATTGAAGATTAACCATGTAGAGCATCTCATCTAACAGCTGTTGGAAACAGGACAGAATATTTCACCAAAGTAAACAGAAGGTTTAGGTAGGTAGGTAGGATTTTATTGATCCCACATTGGGGAAATTCCTGTGTTCCAGTAGCAATAGAAAGCAGCAACAAAACACCATAAGAACAAACACCACACACATATCTTGAGAAGCAAATTCCAAAGTACCTAAAACAGAATATAGTATTTGAGAGACAATCAAAAACAAGAATGATCCTCCCACAATTAATCCCTGAGAACAAATCAAAATACCTAAGAACAAGACAAAATATAGTATTTGAGAGAGATCAATAAAATCAAGGACAAGAATATTACTCCCATAATTAATCCCGCAATGGGGGAAACCAAGGATAGCTTCAAAAATATAAAGGTACACTCATTTTTCTCCACATCTTTAGTGGCATCGACCCAGTAACGTATAAATGTAAATAAATCACAGTGATAGGTTCTTGTTCCCACATTCAAAATAAAATAGAGATGATTATTGCATCATAAGCATCAAGTAGGTAAACACTGCAGAGCTGCGTTGAATTGCATTAAAATGTGCCTGTGACCCTATACTGTCAGAGTACATGGCTGAATGGACCAATAAGAGGGTCCTGTGTGCGCCCTCTTTACTTGCTAGTTACCATTAAGTATAAAGCACCTACCAGACTATATGTTACTCCAAAATTGCAGCTTTGATAAGTTTTAATTGGTCTGAGGTCATCTTTTTCAAGGCCATTTAAGTTCACCATGTAAGCTTAGTATAAACTAATTACAGTGTTACATTTAGACGTGGGAACCCTCTACAGCACAGCACCACAACATTAGCTAATAATACAGCTTTGACTGATTTCATATTTTAGATATCTAAAAATTTGCAATTAATCAAATTATGAAAAACAATCATGGCAGAGTGGGGCTGGGTCCCTGGGTAGCAGCCCGCTTTGCCTGACTGATAATCTAGCTTTGACCTAATAAAGTGGCTGCTGAGTGTATGTTTTGTGTGTGTGTGTGTGTGTGAACAAACCCTTTAACCACTGTACCAGATCAGTGACATGAGATATTGAACTACAACATATTCAAAACACCACTATTTGCTCCTGTTCCCCCTCTAACAGATAAACCAGCTCCGTCTGAGGACACAGGTCTGGCTAGGGTTTAAACTAATTACAGACATACTTCTATAGAAATGGATGACAATTTAAACGCAACATCTAACTGTACTGGTGGTAGGTGTCCATTGTGTAAGCACAAAATTCCACTTCAAGATCACTATGCAGTTCTTTTGATGTATCAGAATACCTTGTTGTGTGTTATTGCTCACTTACCTGCCTCCTGAATGTAAAGGAAAGCAGTATCCTTATAATCTGGATGTGCTCTATTATGTTATTCTCTGTGCATGTGTGTGCATATTTGTGTGTTTGCTTCATATATATGTGTCTCTGCTATCACTCCCAGGTGCACCAGACTTTGTCCACACACTCTGGACAAAGAAGATGGAGTCGAGAGGCACGGTCCCGTCACTCTCAACCCTCGGCACATGAGGAAGGCATTCAAAGTCATGAACGAGCTGCGCAGGTGATATACACTCCCTCCTCCGAATCCCTCATGTACCTCCATGGAAGCTTTAACTGGACACATTCCCTCCCCTCTCTCTTTTTGATGCATATACAGCCAGAGTCTGTTATGTGACGTGACTATCGTGGCGGAGGACGTGGAGATCGCTGCTCACAGAGTCGTTTTGGCGGCTGGAAGCCCTTACTTCCACGCCATGTTTACAGGTGAGGATGATCTTCCGTCCTTGCTTCACAACATCTGCCAAAACATTTTGTGTGTTTGCTTCTTTAATGCTACTTAGCGCATGAAACAGTTGTTACTTCTGTGCTGAGGGAAGGCTGATGTTTGTAAGTGTATCCTAACAGGTGAGATGGCAGAGAGCAGGGCGAAACGAGTGAGGATTAAGGAGATGGATGGCTGGACTCTGGGCCTGCTGGTAGACTACATCTACACAGCAGAGATACAGGTCACAGAGGATAATGTGCAGGTGAACGTCAAATGCATACATATCTGTATCTGTACATATCTGTATGCATTAACATCTGTATCAGGTTTTCAGTCCCTTTTAGTGTTACACTGTTCAGTGGATTTATGGGATTAAAATGGTTATGTGAAAGCACATTCACACTTTCATATCAATGCATTTCCATAAACACCAAAGTAATGTTAGATGAGCATATTAACTTATTACAGTGCCTTGCGAAAGTATTCGGCCCCCTTGAACTTTGCGACCTTTTGCCACATTTCAGGCTTCAAACATAAAGATATAAAACTGTAATTTTTTGTGAAGAATCAACAACAAGTGGGACACAATCATGAAGTGGAACGAAATTTATTGGATATTTCAAACTTTTTTAACAAATAAAAAACTGAAAAATTGGCCGTGCAAAATTATTCAGCCCCCTTAAGTTAATACTTGGTAGCGCCACCTAAATGACTAATGATGATAAATAGAATCCACCTGTGTGTAATCAAGTCTCCGTATAAATGCACCTGCACTGTGATAGTCTCAGAGGTCTGTTTAAAGCGCAGAGAGCATCATGAAGAACAAGGAACACACCAGGCAGGTCCGAGATACTGTTGTGGAGAAGTTTAAAGCCGGATTTGGATACAAAAAGATTTCCCAAGCTTTAAACATCCCAAGGAGCACTGTGCAAGCGATAATATTGAAATGGAAGGAGTATCAGACCACTGCAAATCTACCAAGACCTGGCCGTCCCTCTAAACTTTCAGCTCATACAAGGAGAAGACTGATCAGAGATGCAGCCAAGAGGCCCATGATCACTCTGGATGAACTGCAGAGATCTACAGCTGAGGTGGGAGACTCTGTCCATAGGACAACAATCAGTCGTATACTGCACAAATCTGGCCTTTATGGAAGAGTGGCAAGAAGAAAGCCATTTCTTAAAGATATCCATAAAAAGTGTCGTTTAAAGTTTGCCACAAGCCACCTGGGAGACACACCAAACATGTGGAAGAAGGTGCTCTGGTCAGATGAAACCAAAATCGAACTTTTTGGCAACAATGCAAAACGTTATGTTTGGCGTAAAAGCAGCACAGCTCATCACCCTGAACACACCATCCCCACTGTCAAACATGGTGGTGGCAGCATCATGTTTTGGGCCTGCTTTTCTTCAGCAGGGACAGGGAAGATGGTTAAAATTGATGGGAAGATGGATGGAGCCAAATACAGGACCATTCTGGAAGGAAACCTGATGGAGTCTGCAAAAGACCTGAGACTGGGATGGAGATTTGTCTTCCAACAAGACAATGATCCAAAACATAAAGCAAAATCTACAATGGAATGGTTCCCAAATAAACATATCCAGGTGTTAGAATGGCCAAGTCAAAGTCCAGACCTGAATCCAATCGAGAATCTGTGGAAAGAACTGAAAACTGCTGTTCACAAATGCTCTCCATCCAACCTCACTGAGCTCGAGCTGTTTTGCAAGGAGGCATGGGCAAAAATTTCAGTCTCTCGATGTGCAAAACTGATAGAGACATACCCCAAGCGATTTACAGCTGTAATCGCAGCAAAAGGTGGCGCTACAACGTATTAACTTAAGGGGGTTGAATAATTTTGCACGCCCAATTTTTCAGTTTTTTATTTGTTAAAAAAGTTTGAAATATCCAATAAATTTCGTTCCACTTCATGATTGTGTCCCACTTGTTGTTGATTCTTCACAAAAAATTACAGTTTTATATCTTTATGTTTGAAGCCTGAAATGTGGCAAAAGGTCACAAAGTTCAAGGGGGCCAAATACTTTTGCAAGGCACTGTATATCTTTATGTTTGAAGCCTGAAATGTGGCAAAAGGTCGCAAAGTTCAAGGGGGCCGAATACTTTCGCAAGGCACTGTACCTGTGATTTTGCTAAAATCCCAGTTAACATGGGTCTCCAAAAACCCAACTGGTATTGGTGAGCTAATTTTGTGTTAGTAGTTGTAACAAAAAATCCAAACAATGAATAATTTTGTTTTCTGCCTGGACAATTATATCAAAGTGCCAAACCCATCAGTTTACACAAGATTGATCTATTCCTTTCTGTTTTATGTCCTGGCCCCAACAACCTGTTTTAACTCACACTATTAATGAAAAATGATCTTGGGTCATTTCATTTGCTTATCACAAGAAACAGGAGATGGTACAGCCTTCCAAGGTGGTAGTATCTTTCCTGCCCAGATATTTTCCATGTACTGGGGAAACAGCTGCATATATGGTCTAGTGTTGCTGGGTTATGCTCACAGAATGTTTCTTGTTCACACGGCTGAAATTAGGGAATAATCAGATCACTGCAGTGCAAGTAAGCACTGTAGATTACAAGCATCCAGGGATGTAGTGCTATTTGTTTAAGTACTAGAGCACACCAATGATACGTGTACATGTGGGCACATGCACAGTTACGCTGTGGCTAGTTTCGACACTCCCTCATAGTAATTTTCCACACAACGGCAAATTATAAAACATGGCTTGAAACCCCTGTGGCTAGATTGACGAATTATAAAACAGGCTTAAATTCCCATATTTCATATGTAGCCTACATGTGGTTCAGTTAATTATAGAATTATAAATAGATTGTAGAATTATAAATGCAGATGTTTATACAGATTGATTTTGCAATCCGGGATTTCAAAACTCTTAATTTTTAATTAGTGTACTGGTTATTTCCTAATTGTTTACAGTTTATGTTTGCACAGATCGTAGGTTCACGGTCTGGTGGTTCACGCAGGCTTCATGGAGATATTTCAGTATCACAGCACTGCAGTGACTGACATCCTATGCAAGTTTCTAGTTATTTCACTTGATAAATGGAGATCACATGTTGAACACATGTTAAGCTGGTTTCTGAACTCTTGCCTTGCCTACAAGGACAGTCTCTCCTTTTGGAAATTGTAGGTTAAAACTAAACTGAAAGAGATTTTGGAGTCTAGTGTTACTTAGAGTAACTTCATATAACACAGGCCTTGTACTGTAATCCACGTGTGCATTTTGTCAGTTAGGTCTTGCTAGAGCGGCAGCCTCAAGGGAAGCAGTTTAGTGTCTTGCTTAGGAAAGCTGTAGGGTTGTTGGGGCGACTTAAAGATGGTGCCTCTACCTCCCCACACCAGGCCAACCTCTTTAATTTAATTCATTTGCACTATATGGTATCAAAATTACCACCTTATGCAGGATATTCTGAGTGTGTATTTGCGTTCGACAGGCGCTGCTGCCCGCTGCAGGCCTGCTCCAGCTGAATGAGGTGAAAAAGGCTTGTTGTGAGTTTCTGAGCTCTCAGCTTCATCCGTCCAACTGTCTAGGAATACGAGCCTTCGCTGACCTCCACGCCTGCTCTCAGCTCCTCACACAGGCCAACAGCTACGCAGGTCAGTATGTGCAGAACGCGCACAATTATTGTGTGTATGTGTGTGACAGTGACTGCTTTTCAAGGTTCTTCTAAAATGGATTTGTGTGTGGCCTGGAGGATGTGATGCAGTGAGAGAGACAGGATGTGAACAGGCTTGATTGCTTAAAATGTAGAAATTAGAAAGAAAAACAGTGTTTATCTGCAGTTGTGAAGTATTTTTCTTTCTTGTTTTGCTGAAAGAGCAACATTTCACTGAGGTGGTTGGGAGCGAAGAGTTCCTCAACTTGGGCATGGAGCAAGTGTCCAGCCTGATCGCCAGTGACAAGCTCACCATCCCCACAGAGGAGAAGGTTCACACTCGCCTTGCTCCATATGTCACCCGCCTTGGACCAAATCAAGAGTTTTTGTGCCTGATGTGTGTAAAATGTACATCTTTATTGCTGTGTAGGTCTTTGAAGCAGTGGTAGCTTGGGTCAACCATGATAAAGATGTCCGCCAGGAACATTTGGCTCACCTGATGGAGCATGTACGCCTGCCGCTTCTCTCCAGAGAGTACCTAGTGCAGGTATGATCATAGATGGATTACCAGATGGGCCTAACAGGGAGGCGAGGCGCCTGTGCCTTCATGAGGTGACATGCAGTATTAGTTAATTTGAAACTCTTGGAGGTCAGATAAAGGTAGAGCGCGGATACCTGAACCGAGCCCAATGGGACCTGTTGGGTACCTGAGGGTTCAGCCTGCATTCGGATAGAAATTTAGAAATTATGTTTGGGTCCAGGTCAAGTTCAGACACATCAGTGTTTATGAATGTTTCTGCTGGAGCTCTCTAATTAACTCACATGATCTTATTTTTGTCATAGAAGGCAGTCTAACATCACTTGCCTTTGGCTCATATCTGTGACCAGATCACAGCTATGCCATGAACACAGCATCAGCATGACTGCTGCTTAAGAATCATACTGTGTTAAAGTGTCATCCTTGTTCCAACACCCAGGCAGGTCTCTGTCTTCCAACATAAAGCCAGGCAACATGGTGATACTTATCCAGATTAGAGGAAACATTGTTGAACTGTTGCTGTTACTGTTGTTAAAACAAGGCTGAGAAGGCAAATCAGAGCACGTCTTTTCTCACACCAGTGCCAAATGAAGTTTTCAAATTGTATTTCAGCAACTGAGAGTATATGATACAGTACTCATGACGTGGGTATTTTCAGCCATGTAAACTCCAAAAGTAGACTCACAGTCAGACTTAATAGTGATTCAGAGATCTTGGTATAGTCTACTCTGTTCATTGAGCTCAGTCTTGTAGTTTTTGTTTTTAGTTGTGTTTATTACAATATTCTCTGTCCCAGGACAGTAGGCCTTAAAAGAACATTTGCAAAAATGAAATGCTTTGAATGTCACAGTTTCTCTGTTACTCTGACATCAAATTCATCACCGAATGTTATGTTACATAACAATATAACATTTCATCTCTACTATTAACAATGTTCAGGTAGAATCTAAAGACAAACCTTTAGTTTTTCTGTATAACCAGTCTTGATTCATCATCATATTATGTTCTCAGTTTCCTTTGCTTTTCGCTGAAATATGTCACAACAGTTAAAAAGCTGCTGTACTGACTATACTGTAGCACTGTGTAAATCCTGCTGGCTGATTGGTTCCTCTCTGTCTCCTTGGTTGTGTCAGCGGGTAGAGGAGGAGTCTCTGATTAAAAATAGCAGTGCTTGTAAAGACTACCTGATTGAGGCCATGAAGTACCACCTGCTGCCAGCTGACCAGAGAGCTCTGATGAAGACTGCACGCACACGCATGAGGACTCCTGCCTGCTGTCCTAAGGTGGAAACACAGTCTCTGCAACAGCAGAAGATATGAGGATTTAAATAAGAGAACGCAGTATTAAACTAAAACACTGCTGCCTTTCTTGCGTTTAGGTAATGGTAGTGGTTGGAGGCCAGGCTCCCAAGGCCATCCGCAGTGTTGAATGTTACGATTTTGAGGAGCAGCGATGGTACCAGGTGGCTGAACTCCCCACCAGAAGGTGCAGAGCAGGTACTCTAGGAAACCACTAAATGACAATAACATAAACTGCATCACAGTTACGAGGCTGGATTTAATTGAACATGTGGGTCCATCAAAGGATCTATAGGCCTTCACCTACTCCTCAAGTGAAATGGCTTGATGAAATCAAACTAATGGTGCATTTGACTTGTAAATATTAAGTTAATAGAATTATTAATCATTTGGACTTTGCCCATAAACAGACAATAAAGTGTAAATACCATCGGTTTCATGATACATTGCCAGTGTTGTTGGCAAGTAGTGTACAATATACTGTTTCTGCATAACTTGCAATAAATCTGTGATTAGCATATTTAGTTTACTGATGAGAATTAACAGGGATGTTCAGGTTGGTCTGTTGAAATATCTCCCAGTGACAGAAGACTACATGAACCCAAATACCTCATACAGTAAGTGCATTGTGCTGTCGTGATATTTCTAGGTTTTATGAGTTGACGCTTCCCTGCGCCTTCGGGTCGGGGATAGGTCTCTTACTGCCGTTTGTGCCTACGGGCCGAATGGCAGTGTAGAGTACCCGGCCTTCTTGGAGTCCCTGGGAGGGGTGCTGGAAAAGGCCCCGACTGGGGACTCCGTTGTTCTACTGGAGGATTTCAACGCCCACGTGGGCACAGTTTGTCCATAACGAACACCATGTTCAAGCATAAGGGTGTCCATCAGTGCACATGGCACCAGGACACCCTAGGCCGGAGGTCGATGATCGACTTTGTGGTTGTTTCATCTGACCTCCGGCCGTATGTCTTGGACACTCGGGTGAAGAGAGGGGCGGAGCTGTCAACTGATCACCACCTGGTGGTGAGCTGGATCCGATGGCGGGGGAGGAAGCTGGACAGACTCGGCAGACCCAAACGTATTGTGAGGGTCTGTTGGGAACGTTTAGCAGAATCCCCTGTCAGAGAGATCTTCAACTCCCGCCTCCGGCAGAGCTTTGACCAGATCCCAGGGGAGGCTGGAGATACTGAGTCCGAGTGGACCATATTCTCCACCTCCATTGTCGATGCGGCCGTT